GAAAATAATGTTATCTACAACAGACGAAATCTGCAGCCGTGGAAATCTATGAGTAGATGCTTGGATAGACACATAAACTGAGCAGGTGTGGGAGGGAGAATGGGAACACACCCAAGAAAATATATGGATTTGATAGAGGACATTTGTATATGTGTATTTACCTTTGCTGCAAAGATATCCATGAGTGTGGTGGAGCATGCAGGGGGTAAAGTTAAGAAAAGTTCTTAGATGTAACTACACACATACCTTGATGGAATGAGCCCCTAGGTCTGGGAAGAGCAGGACCATCGTCTCAGGATACCAACGTCAACTGGCATGCATAATTCACAGAGGCATTTTGGTGAGTGGTTGGTATCTTAAAGCTTGTGAGCAGCCATCTAAAGTGCATCTATTGGTCTCTCCCCATCTGGAGGAAAGAAGAGTGATGAAAATAGAAAGGCAGTGTGTTAGTCTGGGTCCATTAGAGAAAGAAATCCACAGAAGCTCATGTATGAGAGAGGGTTTTATGTAAAGAGTAAGTGTGCATTAAAAAAGCATTCCACCCCAGTGCTGTCCAAGCTCATAAGTCCAACATTAGCCCCTATGTCCAATACCAATCTACAAAGTGCTCCTCCATCTCACAAAGCACGTGCAATAACACCAACTCCAGGAGGAAAGCAGAATCAGTAAGCGAGTAAGCATCTCAGCGCTGGCAGGGGTCTCCACACGGCTGCTCCAGCACCCAGGGCTGCATGGGGGTAGGTCCATGTGGCTTCTCCTCAGGGATCTCTTGCAGGAAGTGAGCCTTGCCGGCTGAAGCAGAGAACTGACTAAGGCAGCTGCACCCTACTTCGACCATCAGAAAGCAAGAGACCCAAGAACTATAAAGGCAAGGCTCACCAAGCCATTTAGCTCTCCCCCTTCAATTAATCCCACCTGTGTTTATTGGCCAGGCTGGCACAATAAACCCTCATTATCTCAAGCAGTAACTTAGCCCAGCAGACCCAAGGACCATGCAACAGCTGTCTCCACAAACTTAAGACCAGAAGAACTAGCTGGTGCCTGGCAGCCACTCCCAACTGCTCTAAAAAGGATCACATTCAAAAGTCCTGGATAGAGTGGGAGAAAAATGTGGACTAGAACTAAAAGTCACAAACGAGACTAGGCTTCCTGCTTGGATAGAGGCTGACAGGGCTCCAAAGACTATGGCCCTTAGCCGTCAGGTCTGGATCTGACCTCATCTCTGTGTTAGAATAGTCAACTGTTTAAGATCAAATGGGCAGCATTTGCCCAAGGACACGGTTCAGAGGGTTTGGACACAGGGAGGATGTGGGCTAAGTGACGGTACACGGGGGAGATTGCAATGGATTGATTTAATTAGAACCCATGGGAATTGTTCAAGGTAAAACCCTTCACCTAAACCACAATAAAATGTTTTAAAAGAAATAAAAAAGATCCAATGGCGTGTTGCATTTGAAAAATCTGCTGCCAAAGACTCCTTTAAAATGCTGAAGAATCCCTGCATATTCCCACAGCTTCTCAGAGTCCTGTGGACAATGACAGAGGAGACAAGCCAGGCAGGAAACATGCCGAACGCCTACAGATCTTTACATTTGAAGAATTAGTAGCATCTGAATCTGTGTTTGTTTCAGGTGCAGGAGGAAAAGAAAGGTCCTTTCCCAGTTTGGCTTTTGTTTTTCACTTCTTCATTTTTTGATCGGGTGAGTCAAATGCTTAACAGACAACAACACTTAAATTCCTCTAGTTGCTTCATTTTTTTTTACTCCCTTTCCCCATGAACTTATCATAAAATAAAAGATATTTTTAAAATATCTTAAAAAGCAATATTGAAGAACCAAGATGTCAACTTTGAGAACCAAAGTATGTAAGCTTGACCGGAGCATGGGATTGTCTTTCTTTTTTTAACTATTGTGAATTAGATGGGGTTGAGATCAGATCATAATTTTCGCATTCAATCACTTAAACCACTTATCAACTCTCTCCAAGCCATAGTATTTTCAACCGCCTCATATGCCTGTGAAAGTGGACAATGAATAAAGAAGGCAGAAAGAGACTCGGTGCTTTTAAATTATGTTGTTGGTGAAGCATATTGACTACCCCAGGCACTGCCAGAAAAATAACGGATCCATCTTGGGAGAATAGTTGAATGCTCCTCAGAAAAGTGAGGCTGGCAAGATTTTGTCTCATGTACTTTGGACATATTACGTATGTCGAAATGTAAAAGAACGTTCCGCTGGGTGAAGGAGAGAGCCAGCAAAAGCGAAGCTCCTTAATGAAATGGGTCAACACAGTGACTGCAGCAATGGGTTCAAACATAACCATCGTAAAGATAGTACTGGAATGGACTGGCCCATGTTTTGTTCCATTGTTCCTGGTGTTGTCATGAGTTTAACAGTACCTAACAACAACAACATGTGCAGGACTTGGGTCTGCCACTCTGGGGATAGGAAGTCCAGCCCCAGATAGGCATCAATTGTGTTCTGTCTTCTGTGACCTCCAATACCTAACTAAGCCTAGAACAGTGGTTCTCAACCTGTGGGTCGCCACCCCTTTGGGGGTCAAAGGACCCTTTCACAGGGGTCACCTAATACATCCTGCATATCAGATATTTACATTGTGATTCATAACAGTAGCAAAATTACAGTTATGAAGTAGCAACAACAATAATTTGATGGTTGGGGGTCACCACAACATAAGGAACTGTATTAAAGGGTCGTGGCATTAGGAGGGTTGAGAACCACTGGCCAAGAAAGACAGCAGTCATTTTCAGGATGGGGAAGAGTCAGGGCGGAGGAGTTCAAAGGGATGCTGACAGGGCACGTCTATGAGTGAAAACTGCTGAGGAGACCTCCCACCACCAGCTGCGGTCTGCTTGACCCAACTCCTGGGATTCCATCGGTGCCAGAGAAGAAATGGCCCCCTGGGGTTCTCAATGACTTCTTGGTCATGGTGGTCATGCTTTTCTTCCCAGGCACCTCTGGATAAACTCAGACCTCCAGCCTTTTAATTAGCTGCCTAACACCTTGACCCTCCAGGGATTCTTGAGAGGCTGTGTTTAAAATGGGCTTTGAGGATAAGAGTCAGGAGAGGAGATGAACATTCCAGGGTGATGGCACAAGGGATGCTGGGTGTGTTCTGGGGCATGTGATCGGTTCCCTTTGGCCTGAATATAAGAAATGTATCAGGAAGCAGCAGCAGCAGCTGATAAGATTAGACAGTCAAGGGTTCATGAGGAAGGGGGAAACGGGGAGGAAGTGGGAAAATGAGGAGCTGGTACCAAGGGCTCAAGTAGAAAGCAAATGTTTTGAGAATGATGATGGCAACAGATGTACAAATGTGCTTGACACAATAGATGGATGTATGGATAGTGATGAGTTGTATGAGCCCCCAATAATGATTAAAAAAAAAAAAGATTAGTCAGAGCAGCTGGTTTACTGTGCAACCTTGACCCAAACATGGCCCCTTCTGTGCTACTCCATTTCACTACCGTCTTGTTGGAAACACTTATTTTGCTACTTTTAAGTTGTCGGGGGCTCAATTAAGTTTGGGGGGCCATATATAGCAACAGTGAACCCTGGTCGCATAGAGGGTACACATTGGGCTGCTAGCCACTAGATCAGTAGTTTGAAACCAGGGGAGAAAGATGGGGCTTTCTACTCCATTAAAGAGTTACAATCTCAGAAATCCACAGTAGCAGTTCTACCCTATCCTCTAGGGTTGCTATGAGTCAGAAGTGACTTGATTGCAGCGAGTGTGTATTTTGTGGTTCATGTAGCAACAACAACAAAAGAGCAAAGATCTTGCTTTGAGGACTAAGGTGCGCCTGATCCAAACCAGGGTATTTTCAATCACCAGAGAAGCGAGCACAACTGGACTAGGAATGAGGAGTAGGAATAAAGGAAGAGCAGAGAATCGATGCCTTGAATTGAAACGGTGGTAGAAGATGTGGTGGCAGAAGGAAGTACAGCCAAAAGGCTCCTTGAGAGGATGGGAAGACACATAACCAGGAAGAACTAGCCATGCAGGACATCGTGCTTGGTGCAGGGTCTGCAAGAGAGGAAGGTCCTCACGGAGATGCATTGACAAGGTGGCTTCAATAGTGGACGCCAGCAAAGCACAAGTGTGAGGATTCTTCTGTTGTGCGTGGAATAAGCTATGAGTTTGAACATGTGGCACAGGACCCTAACATATCAGACAGGAGGGATGGGTTGTTCTGTTTCTAAGCAAGGTCCAGGTTAGACCCTCCGATGCTCAAAGAGGGTTTCACCATCCCATTTGACAGACGGATCCCTTTTTAATTTGCAGTCCTTGGCGGCCATCCCCTCCCGTTGAGGAGGAAAAAAGCAAGGAGACAGAATTTGTTTTATATTAGGTGTAATGTAAGGCAGGGTTTCAGGCAAGTCCCATATCATTGCTTGCTTTAAATTTTAAAGTGATTCCCAACCTGAGTCGTGACCCCTTTGGGGGGCGGTCTAGCGAACCTTTCACAGGGGTCGCCAAAGACCATTGGAAAACACAAATATTTCACTATATAATTACATATTGTTTTGTTTTTAATCACTAGGCTTTAATTATGTTTAATGATGTTCAATTTGTAACAATGAAAACACATCCCGCCTATCAGATATTTACATGACGATTCATCACAGTAGCACAACTACAGTGAAGTAGCAACGAAAATAACTTTATGGTTGGGGGGGTCACCACCACGCGAGGAACTGTATGAAAGGTGGAGAACCGCTGCTTTAAAACGTCCGAAAAACTAAGGGGCGACCATGACTCCGTGACGTCACGGCCAGCTCTGTGACGCTCCGTCGCGATCTCCTCTGTGACGCCAGCAGCCAAGCCGACAGAGGGGAGAGGGCCGCGTCCACCCGCGGGGCCCGCGGGCTGCACGCAGGGTCGCAGGGTCCGAGGGGGTCCGGGCGGCGAGCACGGGCTGGAGGACTGGGCTGCCGGGCGGCGACTTCGGCGTCCGCAAGCCGGAGGCCGGGGTCAGCATGCGGCGCAGCCCCCGTCCGGGCTCGGCCGCTGCCCCGCACAGGCACCCCCCCAATTTCTACAGCGACAACAGCTCAGTGAGCGCTACCTCGGGGGACAGCCAAGGGCACCGGTCCCCGGGGCCGGGGCCCGGGGAGCCTGAGGGCGGAAGAGCCCGGGGCTCGAGCAGCGGTGAGCCCGCCTTGAGCTCAGGAGCGCCCGGAGGAACCGTGTGGGCTTGGAAGCTCTCGGCAGAAGCCGGCGCCCCGGAGCCACAAGGGGCCGACGGCCTGTGGCGCGGCAACCGTGAGGGGCGGGGCCTCGGGTGCGGGCGGGGTCGAACCTGGGTAAGCCGGGGGCGGGACCGAGTGGGCGGGGCCGGGTCGTCTGGGGCGTGGGGAGGCAGGCGGGAGCCAGGTCCCCTGTTGGGTGAGGCTTCGGGTGATAGACGGTCTTGGGAAGGGGCGGGGAAAGTCCTGTGATTGGGCATCACTGAGGAGGCGCGGCCTTGGTGTTAGCGAGCGTGAAATGGGGCCGCACCAAGCCCAGGCCTGAGGGCGGGTCCTCCGCTTGGGGGCGGTCCCAACTTCTAGAGTCCCTTCTGGAAGGGGCGGGGCCTCAGTGTGCCGAGCGAGTCCCGGGGTGCAGGTGCTGGGGACCCAATGCTGCCCTTCTGGGGGCTTGGGAACCTGAGGCGGGGTCCGGGGAAGGAGTCGGCCTGCAATGCGCAAGGCCCCAATGGAGCCCTTGGGCTCTCGCAGAACCGGCTGGGTCTCCTGTAGCCCCTGAGGAGCAGCTCGACCTTCTCCCCACGCTGGAACTGAGGCAGGAGATGCCTACCTCTCGGGTGTCCAAGAGCATCCTGAGTACGAGCCAGGCCTGCCCAGTCCCCGCCCCTCTGGACCTCAGGCTCCTCTCTGAACGCCCAGACTCACCTTTGAGGCCCTGTCCATGCCAGTCCTCTGTTCCATCCCAGAACCTAATCCCCTTCTCTGAGCTCAGTGGCTCTCCTCTCGTGGCCCCTCTCTAATTCTTGTAGCCCATGTCCTCACTGCCTGAGCGCTCCCCACTTAATTATTTCAGAAGCCCGCCACGCCATCTCCATCTTCTGCCCCCACTCCCACCCCCACAGCCTCTGTCCTGAGTCTCCTCTCCTCCCTCCCTTCAGGCCATCTCTTCCAGGTCCCAAGCGTGTTGTTATGCTTGTTAGGAGATGTGCTGGTCAGTGTGTACAGGTCAGAGGGCGGGAAGGGGGAGCCCCCAGGGGTTGCTTTTTGCTGGGGGCTGGGGTAACGGGGCGGGAGCAGAGCTGGAGCTGCTGAAGTTGAAGCCCACCCAGGGCTCGAGTTTGCAGAGCTGGTGTGCCTGGGGGAGGTCCTGAGGGTCCAGGGCCTCAGTCTCCCTCCTATCCTCCCAGGGAGGTCTGTTCCATCCGCTTCCTGCTCACGGCTGTGTCACTGCTGAGCCTCTTTCTGGCAGGTGAGGGGGCGCTGGGCTCCATGGGGAGTGACCCAGCCCCGAGCCCAGGAACCAAAAGACAGCCTGTTGTCTCCTGTCCCTGAACCCGCAAGCTCCCTACAGTCCTCGCTCAACCCCCCCCAGAGCCTGCCCCACAGCTCCCAGCCTCTTTTCTTTACCTGCCCCTTTATGCCAGGGAAACCATTTCCTCCCCTTTTCCTCTAGTGCTTTGGTGGGGGCTCCTGTATCTAGTCCCTCCTTTGGAGCATGTGAGTGGGGGAAATTGTTCTGGGGGGTGATGGGCAGGTCCTGAACGGTGGTGGTGGTATGCTTCTGGGAGAAGGGTAGTGTCTAAGGGGTATGGAGTGGTGTGTGTGTTTCTGATCTGGGGAAGTCAGGGAAGAGATGGGAGTGCAAGTCCTCAAAAATAGGGCTTTGAGTCTAGCTGCTCTGAGGCTGAAGTGGGAAGATCTGGGGAGGGGGGAACTGAGCTGCTGTATTTTGTCCCTCCCTCCCCACTAGGAACCTAAGGAGATGCTGACTATGAGGTGCAAGAGAACACTTGGGGTGGGAGGTTGGGGGTTCAATTGTGCTTCTTTGGGGTACCCTATGGGAGGCTTCCGGGGGGAACAGGGGTGTGGCCCTCAACACTAACATCCTGCTTGCAGCGAGTACCACGAGCGAGTTTGCTCTCAGAGGCAACAGCTGCAGCAGCTCCAGGCTGAGCTGGATAAACTCCTCAAAGAGGTGGCCAGTATCCGGGCCACCAACAGCGAGGTGAATCTGCCTCCCCACCCCACCGTAGAGCCCCAGCCCTGGGTCTCTGAGCTCCATAGGAAACCTCCTAATGGCGCCCACTCCCTGGGTCCTGGGCCCCACCCTGAAAACTCCACCTCCCAGTCTCGGGAGTGGGGGTGGGGGGCTACCAAACCTATCACAGAGAGCCCAGCCCCCAGGGAACTGGCCTGGAGCTCCGCTGGGCCAGGCTTTGCCCTCATTCTTTCAGACAGTGGCTAAGATCGTTATCCAGAGGCTGAATGAGGACTTCGTGCAAAAACCCGACTATGCGCTGAGCTCTGTGGGTAAGGGTCCCAGAAACTCAGAGAGAGACTCCGAGACAGTGATAGTCTCAGACAGGCCCTGCCCAGCGCTCAGTCGGCCTCAAGAGTCCATCTCCTTGTTCACCCGCTCCAGGAGCCTCCATTGACCTAGAGAAGACATCTCACGACTACGAAGACGTGGACACTGCCTACTTCTGGAACCGCTTCAGCTTCTGGAACTATGCAAGGCCCCCCACAGTTATCCTGGAGGTGGGCTTCCAATTGGGTTTCTGGGATAGGACTGAGGGTGGGTGTTCCAGGTGGGATGCCCAGAGAGGCCTAGGAGGTGACATTCAGCTGAAGGGAAGGATCTGCAAGTTCTGGGCTACGGGCTGGGAGGGGGCTAGCTGAGTGTCGAGGTTGGAGTACTGGACAGCTTAACTGGCGGTCAGCCAAAGGTGGGCCCTATCTGAGTGGAGACATGGGCTGGGTCAGGCTAGGTTGTAGTCCCTCAGAAGGTCTTGGGTTCTGATGACCTATCTGCCTACTTACAGCCAGATGTGTTCCCTGGAAATTGCTGGGCGTTTGAGGGTGACCAGGGTCAGGTGGTGATCCGTCTGCCAGGTCGTGTGCAATTGAGCGACATCACCCTGCAGCACCCACCCCCCAGCGTGGCGCACACCGGGGGAGCTGACAGTGCTCCTCGTGACTTCGAGGTCTATGTGAGTGGGGCTGAGGCCAAGAGGGGCATGGGGACTAGATTTTGCCTCGGAAGCACCAGGCACTCATGAGAACGGCTGCCAGAATCGGAGCCTTTGCTTGCTCACCTGGAAAATGGACATACTACTACCTGCCCCTCAGGGCTGCTGTAGGCTATTATCATAACCACATCCAAGTATTTGCTATGGTTACTAGGTGTTTGCTCTGTGCCTAGCACTGCACTTGGAGATATTGTTACCATCTCCCTGCTTTAGACCTTTGCCCACTTTGGCCTGTAAATAGCTCAGTTGACTTTTTCCACTTTGGAAACAAATGGAAAAGCCCAATTTTTAATTATGGGATTTAAACAATTTTTAAGCTCCTGATAGCAGTGTTAAACTCACAAAAAATTCAGGACTCATGTCCAGAAAGGGGAATTTACTTGTTGAAGATCCCATAGCTAACGATCAGACTAAAAATCAGACCTGGTGTTTCCACTTGATACTATCCCTAATATTACAAAATTCATGAGGCCAGGTATACAGGTTGTTGTGTGCACCGTAGGTCCTCAGTCAAGTTGCTTTTTCCTTCCTTCACCTACCTGCTCATCCGCTCCCTCTTCACCTTTTAGGGTCTCCAGGTTGATGATGAGACTGAAGTTTTCTTGGGGAAATTCACCTTCGACGTGGAGAAATCTGAGATTCAGACTTTCCACCTGCAGGTATATGTGTCTCAGGGCATGAACGTGCTGAGGGAGCGGGGCAGCAAGGGAAGATCAGGGAAGGGGAAAGCCCTTGGGAGGACAGGCTCTGGCACGATCCATTTGTCTCCCCAGAATGACCCCCCAGCCGCCTTCCCTAAGGTGAAGATCCAGATTCTAAGCAACTGGGGCCACCCTCGCTTCACATGCTTATATCGAGTCCGTGCCCATGGCGAGCGAACCTCAGAGGGGTCAGGGGAGAATACCACAGGGACCACTGGTGGCGCCCATTAAACAACTACTGGTTGGAGTAGTGCGAAGGTCTGTGCTGAACTGGGTCAGTGCCACAGGGGAATTGCTCTATCGAAAATCTTGGCTGCTTGAAGCATCTAGATATAGAGGCTTTCCACAGCACCCCCCTTCCTTGGAGAAGTCCAGCTTAATATCATAGGAGCTATTCTCACTTAAGCATTGGGATGCCAGCTATAAGGTTGGTAGTTCAACTAAAGAAACAGTTGAGACTGTCTGCTCCAGTAAAGATTGATAGTCTTGGAAGCCCTGTATAGAGTTCTTATGGGTCTGGTATCAAGTATTATAGATAGCACTCCATGTTGCCTAACTTACCTTCACAACCACAGGGGTTGAAACCACTCAGGTCAGGAAACTTGCTCAAAGTCAGACAGCTAATGAAGAACAAAGAGCAGAACCAGGCCTGCCTGTCTTCAGAGGCTGCTCCCCTTATTCACTCTAGAGCTGACAGCTTAGAGCAAGTTTATACTCTAATCCCCACCCTCAACCCCTTGCAAACTATCAACCCCAGCGAGGTATATGAAAAGTTGAAGGGGGAAGTACCTGCCCTATCTTTTTTCAGGCACTCAAAAAATTGAGACCCGAGAACCTACAGAAACCTTGGGAATCACAGCCTAATAGCCCCTTCTCAGATGGTTTGTACTGACACTGGAGTGTCTAGTCTTCTGCCAGGCACAGTATCGATGGTCTAGAGCAGTGGTTCTCAACCTTCCTAATGCCTCGGCCCTTTCATACAGTTCCTCATGTATGACCCCCAAACCATCAAATTATTTTCACTGCTACTTATAACTTGTCATTTTGCTACTGTTATGAATGGGGCAACCCACAGGTTGAGAACTGCTGGTCTAGAGTTTAAATCTCTGCCATCAAGAAGCCTGATAAGGGAGAGAAGATGCTTCAGGAAACAATTCATTTACAGATTGATCCAAGAAATCTTCACTCAGGGTTAACAGAATTGGAGGGTTAAGGGATGAAAGAGACATCAAATAATCGAGTTCTACCCAGGGAAGAGAATAGAAAAAGAGGAGAACAATGCTTAACAATCAGGATGATTAGCATGCTCACCAATACGTTCATGTTTTGGGAGAGAATATATAAACTATTAATAGTGGACACACATTTACAAAGTGAAATTGAGAGCGTCTAAACATCAGTTTGAATTTTGAGGGCATTATTTTGTATTCTGAAGACAGGAAAAGATTCAATCCAGTGCTTTCAAAATGCAAATGAGGATAGCTTTTTCTGCCATTTCTAAGAATGTATTCAATGCCCAGTTTCTATTCTCTGAGTGAAGTTAATTATGCTAGAAAGGGCTGGAGGCTACTAATCAAAAGAACAATTGGAACCCAGCAGACACTCTAGGAGAAAGATGTAAAGGTTGTAAGCTTTGGAAACCCTATTGGTCAGGCCTATTCTGTCCTGTGGGAACTGACTTGGTAGCAAAAGGGTATCATGCTAGAGGCACCCTTCCCTCAACAACCCCCAAGGTTAATAGCAGCCTCTCACTGAAGACACACACCCCAGTAGCAAAGCAGTGCTCTTCAATGGTCTTTATTAAGGAAAGGAACCATCAACAAAAAGTTGGGATCAACAGCAGCAATAGCTGAAACAAGTATAAAAGTATAAAATATACACAGTGTATACAGGGATGGATTAGGGTCCAGAGGGCCTTTGGGGGATGCAAGATGAGGATTGTCCACTATTTACCCTCCAGAAACTTAGGCCGTGGAAGCCTGTGCAGGGTCCTTAGCTGGGGCTGGAGGCGGCTTGAATGGAGCCCAGCCTTGGGCCTTAAAATAGGAGACCAGTTGCATAGGCACTTCTGCAAGCACTGTCTGTGCCAGTGCCTCTCGGGGGGCCTGTCAGGAGAAGAGCATAAGTCAGTGGAGGTCTGTAACAGCGTTACAAAGGGCAAATAACTCTCCCACCTTCACCTTACACCAGAGAGGCCCTACTCACATTCTGGAAGCGGCGGTAGGGCACAAACTGCACTATGTCACGGACAGCTGCGTCCCCAGAGCGTGTGCGCAAGGGCCCACCATCAGCATCCAGCTGCTCCATGGCCTCAAAGTCAGCGCCGCCCACACCGACGATGATCACTGACATGGGCAGGCTGGAAGCACGCACCACCGCTTCACGTGTGGCTTCCACATCAGTCACAGCACCATCCGTCAGCAGCAGTAGCACGAAGTATTGCTGGGGACAAATCACTTATGTACTGAGGCTGACCCTCTCCTCCAGTCCCCTTATAGACGGCTCATGGTGCCACTCTCCAAATGAACACCCAAACAAAACCACCCAGACATACATTCCTGTCCCGACAAGTCCCTTGAAACAAAAACATTCCCCACCACCCATGCCCCTTTACCGAGGCAGTCCTTTGATGTGTAGCCTGAGCTGCAAACCTGGCCACGTGATTGATAATAGGTGCAAAGTTGGTAGGGCCATAGAGGCGAACCTGGGGTAGGGCTTGGCGGTAGGCATCCACAATGCCCTGGATGCCTGCAAAGAGAGGGTAGGAAACACTGTAAATTCCTGCGGGTGGGGTCATGAGTCCTGAGACCTTGGATGCATTTTATTCGGAGTACTAACCCGACCATATAAACCGAAACTTGGCCCAATCACACCCTGAATTAAAAGCCAGCCTGGAGGGTCCCACTGGTCCGATCCAAGACTATTTGGACATTACTCATTTGATAAACTTAAATAATAGAGGATGAGGAAAAACTTCTAATAAATGTAAAGGAGGAACTACAAAAAGTCATTTCCATCATTAAGTTTGATTCAAGCAAGGATCACCAATGCATATAAAATTAGAGGATATAAGCTGAGTAACCAAACATCTCCACAGCCTCCAAAACACTTAATCATTTCAAAAGGAAAAATAAGACTTGTGTAATAGAGAAACCTGTTAGACACTATCTTAACCAAGTAGTCAAAGTTGATGAGATCAGTAATGCGACAAATCGACACCACGTGAAAGGCACTGAAAAGGATACCCAAAAAATGCAAACTATAAATCTAATCATGAGGGAAAAAAATCAGGTAAACCCAAACGGAAGGATACTCTATGAATTCTGTGGCCTATAGACACTTCAGACACGTTGCCATCATGTACGACATGAAAAAATTCAAAGTAAAAAAAGATTGTGTGTGATCAAAAGGGAATTTCTTTTGCTGTGAAAGACATTATTAGGCTAACTAGCAAAGCATAAATAAATTCTAGTTCAGACCCAAGTATTGTATTGATGTAAGAAAATGCCCTTGATTTCAGGAAGGACATATTGAAATATTTAGGGATAAAGGCCATATGAATGATGATGGGTGCAAAGTTGGTGGAACCATAAGGGTAAATCTTAGATCATGGTGTATTCTCTGCAACTAACTTTGAACATTTCAGGGGAAGGGGAAAGAATAGCAGTATACAGGTTCAATTTAAAGTCTGCGTTAAGGGGGACAGCAGGTGCTGTGACACAGGCCTTGATCCTTGCGCTCCATGATCTCAACCCCAATGACTATTTTATTGCAGTTTTCTTCAAGGTTGAATTTACGTCAAAATTAATTCAAGGGGAAAAAGAATTCAGAGAAAATTAAAAAAACCCAGATTCAATCTAGGCAGGTCAAGTTTTCCACTTCACAGCTTGTGGCACACCTGGGACGCTGAGAAATCACAAGGCCAGGCAGCACCAGTTAGAAGCAGACTGGGCCAACCTTTAAACAAAAGTGCTTGGGGTAGTGGTTCTCAACCTGTGGGCTGCAACCCCTTTGGGGGGGGGTCGAACGACTCTTTCACAGGGGTCACCTGCGACCATCAGAAAACACATTATGATTCATAACAGTTGTAAAATGACAGTGATGAAGTAGCAACAAAAATAATTTTATGGTTGGGGGTCAGCATGCGGAAGGTTGAGAACCACTGGCTTGGGGGGACTCAGGCAAAATGTTCCCTGCAAGGAGGTATCAACGCTTACATTGATGCCAGGTCCTCCAGGACTCACCAGGGGCAAAACAGTAAAGCTTAAAAATAATTTAACAGCTACCAGTTTTTTAGAGGGTACTTAGTATGTGTTACGCTTACTGTGTCAAACTTACTGCTTGGCACATACCCTCTTCTCTCCTTGAATACGTAATATCCTACACGATTTTGACTTATTATGAAACCAAAGTACACAGAGGCTAAGCAAGTCACTCCAAGTTGACACATGGTTTTCAAGCGACAAGCAAAATTCTGACTCTAACTGATCATATCCAGACTTGGTTTTAAAAACTATTCCTATGGACAATGCGGTGCGGTATCTGCCCTTCAGCTGTTCCCCCCTTTGCTCAAGGTATGGCGAATTCTGTTTCTATGACTTGCCTGCACAATAGGGGTTGCCGGGGTTGAAGTTCAAAGCAAATTCATGGGAGACCTGAAGTGAGAATGAAAATAAGGTTTTGGTTGTTTTTTTTTAATCGTTTTATTAGGGGCTCATACAACTCTTA